AGTATTTCCCCTTATTTTTGCATGTGGAAATTACTGAAATCTGTATCAGAGAGCCACAAACCAATACAACAGACAACACAGGCCTGCATACATGCTTAGTTTGACCTACACCAGGTTATTTAAAACAAAAACTGTAGACCAAAAAACTTAGGGCATTTCACACAAAAATCACAGGATTTCTGACTTGAAGGTTGTGTTATTCTCCCTCAGGGACCTAGCTATGAGAGATTCCATCTCTATGCTTCCTTGATTACCACTGTAGGCAAGACTCTTAAAGCTTCCACCTAAAAGTGACCTGTTAATTCCCAACTCATATCCCGTTGGTCAAAGTAAAATTCATGGTCAGCCTAACTTAAAAATTGATGAAAAAGTATAATTCTAGAATGTGCCTGGAAGGTAAAAAGTCAGAAATATTTCCTATAATTGACGACTTGCCTTTAGTCTCTTCCCTTCTACCTATTCTCCAAACTACCGCTAGAAGCACAGACCGAATTATCTCATACTGCTTTGGAAAAGCATGAAACTATGATGTTTATAGGATAAAAAGTAAAATTCACCAAAAATGACACTCAACACCTTTCATAATCTTCTCCAAAGTCTTTGACCACCTTCTTTTCCCATTATTTCCCCTCACATTATCTATTCTCTAGGCTTTCTAAATATGTCTTAGCATATATTCCAAAATTTAGTTTCAACATTATCTCAGGCCCATTTTTCCCTTTTTGTGGAAAAAATTAAATCCTACATCCACTATACTTACAAATCACATTATTTATAACAAGCTAGTATTCTCTCATTCAAAGAAGTTCATATGTGCCAGGCACTTCAAACATAATTGCCGTGTATCTAGTAGAATGTAAACTACCATGTATCTACTAGATTAAGTAATGATGTTCTTATATATTCTGGTAATTCCCTATAGCATTACACCCGACACAGAGATTCTCAAAATACTGGCCTAACAAATTCAAATAAGAGACAGGATAATAAATGCCAATGACATTTTACTTAAGTTTCATTTACTTTTAACTTACTTTGACTGTTTCTAAAACTAAAATGGACCTAGACTTAAACTAATGCTTTTAAAGACTGGAGACTGCTTTAGCTACGCACATCTCTTGGGTTTTGTCTGCCCTGCTTTTGGAAATAGTTTAGTTGCCAAGACCTAAACTGGGATAGTTATAAAGATAATTAGGTAGCCAAACTACAGCAGTAAATGCTTTTAATACAATCATCTCACATCTTATAGTAATTTCAAGTTTGTAAACACTTTAGCAAAGTATATTAAAAACCACACAAAATTTAAAGCAATTTGTTTACAAATTCTAATGGTTCTAATAAACATCTGTTTGTTTTTGCTTCAAACTAAGTTATACTGAAGTAGGAGACTGTGGACAGATGTAATTATTTTAGCCTACTGTCCAAATATTAACTTAAAAATGTAATATTAAAAAAATTAAACTTTAGCCCTGGCCAGTTTGGCTCAGCAGTTAGAGCGTTGGCCCGCAGACCAGAGAGGCCTGGGTTTGGTTCCTGCTAAGGGCACGTACCTCAGTTTGGTTCCTGCTAAGGGCATGTACCTCAGTTTGGTTCCTGCTAAGGGCCCTGCCTAGGATCGTATAGGTGACAACCACTTGATGTGTCTTTCTCACACCAATGTTCCTCTCTCTCTTCCCCCCTCTCTCCCTCATGCTCTATCTGAAGATAAATGCAAAAAATATGTCCTCGGGTGAGGATTAAAAAAAAAAGTATAAAATTCCCATTAGAAAAAAAACCAAAAACTTTAAATTAAGTTGTTTTGTAGGTATAGACAACATAATGAAGAACTAGGGAAAAACTACCATGATGAAGCTTATGAAAAAGAAAGTATTAAAAAAGGCATCATTGCCCCGCCGGTGTGGCTCAGTGGTTGAGCGTCAACCCATGCACCAAGAGGTCGCCGGTTTGATTCCCTGTCAGAGCACATGCCCAGGTTGTGGGCCCAATCCCCAGTGGGGGGCATGCAGAAGGCGGCCAATCGATGTTCTTGCTCATCAATGTTTCTATCTCTCTCTCCCTCTCCTTTCCTCTCTAACAAAAAAAAAAAAAAAAAGGGAAAGACACTGTAAACAGTGTGGAATACTTAAAGGAGAACTAAAAGTCCAGCTGGTGTGGCTGAGTGGATTGAGCATTATTTCATGGACTGAGAGGTCCTAATCCAATTCTCAATCAGGACACATGCCCGGGTTGGAGGCTCAATCCCCAGTAGGGGGCATGCAGGAGGCAGCTGAACCATGTATCTCTCTCTCCCTTCCTCCCTCTCTAAAAAATCAATAAAGACGTATTAAAAAAAAAAAAAGGAACTAAAAGCAGGCAAATAGACTTGACAATTTAAGCAATTCCAGTACAGTAATGGAGGAGGGCCAAAATATAATCTCAGGAGAGTCAAGGGAAGTAAGAAAGTAGAATATGTGAATATATGCTATTATCTCAGAAATTCCAGTAATAAGTAGAAGAAAAGGTTTAATGGCAGGGTGCAGTGACGTTTGTTTTTCGGACACAAGAGACTTAAATAGCTTTGTAGGCAGAGAAGAGGTCAGTCAACAGTGCAAGGTTTCAAGAGAGGATGGAACCAGACAGTAAGGTGAAGGATCAGCCATGGAAAAGAGCAAGTTCCTTCTATTCAGAGAAAGGTAAGAGTCCTCAGAAAGGATGAAGAAACCTATTCTGCTCTTATTCCCATGTTTTAAAAGGGCCATCTGAAAACTTATCAGCAAATTCTGTACAACTTATGTCTCCTTTTCTACTTTTATTGGCTGCTGTGCATTAACTAGTGGCAAGAGTGGCTATTATCAATCCAAAGTACTTTTCTTATTGAAAATAAACATTACATTTAATGTTTTATTCCTATTTATTAAAAATAATGCACTTAACATTTCATATTACAGAAGTAACATCATAAGTATATGACAAATTAGTCTAGAATAAGGATAAACAAAATTTTAGAAAAAGTTTAATCCTTTAATGCATAAAATTTGATAAAGGAGATATCACAGAAATAAGAACCCCCACAAATTATTTCCTTGAGAGTTTGTCATCTAATTGGGCCAATGAAACACATACATATGACAGATTCTTAAGTAATGTAATTTTAAGTTCAAATGAGAAAAAAATTGAGGACCAAGAGCTAAATAAATTATTACAAATCAAAGAGAGGTTACTGAACCATAACTTAGTTTTTCAGTTAATGCAAAGGTTTGCACTGGTTATTGAGATATCCTACAGCTCAATTTGTGGTCGGTAAAACCATTATTTCACATCCAGCAATTTCTCAACATCAAAATATAATTTATTGCATCTAATGCTTACGGAAAGTTATTTCGGTATTTAAATTTGATGCAACTTCCCTTAAAAAGTCTACTAAGGCAAAATGCTTACCAATAATTTGCAGGCAAATTTGCAGTACCTCCATACCACCTAGATCATTTCTGACATTTTTATATGTCTTAACATTGTTATTGTTAATTCCAGAATAAATTACAGTTATTCTAGAAGCCATCAAAAGTTTACAAAAGTATAGAAGCAGACCTAGCCAATGTGGCTCAGTTGGTTGAAGCATCATCCCTTACACTCAAAGGTCGAGGATGCAATTCCTGGTCAGGGCACAAACCTAAGTTGTGGTTTGATCCTCAGCCCCAGTCAGAGCGTGTGGGGGAGGCAACCTATGGATGTTTCTCTCACACATTCATCTTTCTCTCTCTCTCTCTCTCTCTCTCTCTCTCTCTCTCAAAAAAAATCAATGAACATGTCCTCCAGTGAGGAATTTTTTAAAAAGTATAGAAACAGCTTTAGAACAGTTAAATTCAGAGATGCTTAGGCCTCATAAAAAATGGATTACCCCTTATAAAACTGAAGAATCATGAAGAAACAGGCTGATAGTAGAGAAACATGAGAATATTTAAAACTAGCAAAAGTAAACAAAAAGTAACTGAAGTCTATTCAAGGATGAAATATCGAATCACAAAACGTTTTCAACTTTCTAAAATATTTTTTAGTCATTAGGAGGATAAATCTAATCAAAGAATTATTGAAAAAAAAAAAGCCTCTAAAACATTGAAAATTTCATACAAAACTGTTTCTTACACAGAATTCAAACTACTTTGAATGAAGAAAGACCAAGTCATTGATAGTAATATGGAAATGAGGTAAAGTCGGTTAACTAAAAGGTTTCCAAAGATGAGTTATAAAAATATCACCAAAATTTGGTAATAAAACAATCCATTACATAAAGAAAAGAACAACACATAGTCATCTTTCTTGTTCATAGAGAAGTGAAAAGATAATTAGTATAGAACTCAAAAGAGGCAGAAATTTCTTCTTTAACTAGACGAAGACAGAAAACCCTGAGATAGAAATCTACTTAGAGGTCATCTGCCCAACAGTAAGGAACAAGACAAACGATAATATTAAAACAACAGAAAACTTATTTTATTTTAATAAGAAAGTAAAAAAAAAAAAAAAACTGTATCAAATTTAAAGAAAATAGACATATTACTTATTAATTTATCCATGTATCATAATTACTAACAGGAATTTATCAGTCTTAAGATTGTACATACAAACATTCTATGGGTCAGTTTTCTGCATCTTATCAAAAGTAGACCATGTTTACTTTTTCATATGTCACTTCTAAAGTCTACATTATAAACCCTCCAGTAAGATATTTTGAGTTCCTTTTTTACTAAAAGGCAAATCTAGTAATCTCACATATCCCCAAATTTTAAATAAAAGCAAATAGAGATTATTCTTATTGCTGGGTGGAAATTAAATTAAGATAGTAGAAAATGTTCTTCACATGTTATTTAGTGTTGAAACACAGCAACCGGAAATAAGGTAGGCTTCTTACCAAAATGTTATTACCTATGAGGGGCTATTCTGGAGAGCTATTTCTTTCTCTTTGGGTAACTCAAAAAGGACTTGCAGTTTACACACAAATAAATACAGAGAGTCTGCATACTAACCTGGCCCAGTCCAGGCATACCTCCTCCAAGTCTAAGAAGTCTGTCCATATTTCTAGAAAACAGAAACAAAGGAAAACGTTTCTAAGCACAAAAGTGTTTACTCAATTGCTATCTATATAATTCACCTTCAGTCACCCAGTATGTCAAAAATATTGGTGGTAATTACAACACAACATCAGACTTCCTGTTAATTAACACCACATATTAATTCAAGAAGCTGTCTTCCATGCTAATTAACAGACCTTATTTTACTGCTTTGGTTTTGGGTTATCCCCAGTTTTAAAGACAAGCAATCTTAGCATAATTTCAAAATTTTGTTATCATTAATTATATTTTCTTATTGCTATCTAATAAAGTACCTGAATGAGGAAAAAGTGCCTGAAATGCTTATCATATGTATATTGAATTTCCTTCAATTTGTCCAGAGTGTACAAATAAAAATCCTCACTTTTAAATTAAATTTTAACATCCTCATTAGTAAGTTCTGTGCTAATTAACTTACAGCTTGTCAGTTATCATCAAAACTACATGTGAAAGACATTGTGAGCAGATTATGGATCTCTGAATTAGCATCAAAGGCTTTTACAAAATGAATTCATTATACTAAAAGGAATATTAAAAGTAAACATTAAATGCATTAAGATAGTGTTTTAGAACCTACACAGACATTTGTGTTATTTCAGGTATTGTAGAGATATGTACCTTTTTCACTAAGGAAATTCAGCTGTTCTCAATTTTAATCCTAGAGTTAATCAATACAGAGAAGATTAACTTTGAAATACCAATCTGATTTGTTTTTTATATCTGGAATAACTAAAGAAGACATTCTGAGAAGCCTGAAAATTTCACAAAAAACTCAAAGGAAAAAAAATAGCAAGGGTACTAATATGGCCTCAAATACACAGAAAGGAGTAATCAAGTTATAAAAATTAATATTCAGTACAACTAAATACTTAAATATAAGAACGAAGCATTTTTTCTACTTGCTACTATGCCTTAAAATTCCTCTTCTTCCTAAGTGTATGCTTCAGAAAAATGGTACTGTTACAAATATATTCTAAGTGCCCTGCCTGGTTTGGCTCAGCAGTTAGAGCGTTGGCCTGTGGTCCAGAGAGACCTGGGTTCAGTTCCCGCTAAGGGCATGTACCTCAGCTGCAGTTCGTCCCCAGCCCTGGTTGGGTTGTGCGGGTGGCGGCCACTCAATGTGTCCCTTTCACGTCAATGTTTCTCTCTCTCTCTCTCCCTCCCGCTCTATCTGAATAAAAAAATGGGGAAAAAAATGTCCTGGGGTGAGAATAAATAAAAAATATATATATATATATATATACATATACGTGTGTGTGTGTGTGTGTGTGTGTGTGTGTATATATATATTCTAAGCTAAATGCTAACAGATTATTTAGCCACTTGTCCATATTGTTTTACTAGTTAAAACTACTATGCAAACTGAAACTCAATAATGTACTTATGATCATTACTTTACTGCCTAACTCTGTTGAATCCTGCTAAGAATTTAATCCTGAGACTATTTAACAATGTTAACACTGCAAACTTTATTCAAGTCCAGATATAGAAGAGTACATAAATGATACAGCCATGGAATTTTCACAAAGTGAACTCACCCCTATATAACCACCACCTAGCTGGAGGAACAGAACACCTAAGAACACCTCTCATGCCCCATTCCCAGTCTCTACCCCACAGGAGTAGAATTCCGACTTCTAATTACACAGATTAGTTCTGCTGTTTTTGAATTCTATATAAATGAAATCATATACTTTAGTATACAGCTTTCACTCCAGAAGTTTGTGAGATTCAAAACAAATAAACTCCTTTTTAAAAATGAAAAGGCACATATGAAAACCTGATAGTCCAGACAAATTTTTCTGCTTTACAACCTTAACTCACACTCCTAACAGCAATATTTACAAATAAAATCTCCATCAAATTCTCATTAAAATTCTTCAGCTCAAGCCCTGGCTGGTTTGGCTCAGCAGTTAGAACGTCGGCCTGCGGTCCAGAGAGACCGGGTTCGGTTCCCGCTAAGGGCATGTACCTTGGTTGCAGTTTGTCCCAGGCCCTGGTTGGGTCGTGTGGGTGGCAACCACTCAATGTGTCCCTTTCACGTTGATGTTTCTCTCTCTCTCTCTCTCCCTCCCACTCTATCTGAACAAAAAATGGAAAAATGTCCTCGGGTGAGGATAAAGGAAAAAAAAAAAAAAAAATTTAAAATTCTTCAGCTCAAATATGGCATTCAATACACAGCGTTTTTTAAAAGCTATAGACAGAAAAAAACAAAACACCTGTGTATTTTAAAATACTAAAGACATTTCTCTGGAATACACTACAAAAGGAAAAATATTTCTTTTGGACTATTTCAAGCTTACAAACTTAAAAACAATTGGAAAAAAAAAAAAAGTAACATACCCTGGCAGGGTGGTTCAGTAGGTTGGAACATTGTCCCATATCCCAAAAGGTGGTGGGTTTGATTCCCAGTCAGAACACATACCTAGGTTTCTATTTGGATCCCCGGTTGGGGCAGTAAGGGAGGCAACAGATCAATGTTTCTCTCTCTCTTTTCCTCTCTCTCTAAAAATGAATCAATAAAAAGATACCATCAGATGAGGATTTAAAAAAATATTTTTTAAACTTAACACCATACAGTATGCTTTAGACATTCTATATACTCCAGGCCAAAGTCAATTCCCAGCTGTGTTCAGTTTATCTATTCCCCTTGTGTTGTTTCTGATGACTTTACACAGACTCCAGATGCTGTGAATATACATGAGCAATGTGGGGAATAGAGGGAAAGAAAATCTGGCAGATCAAATTTGTGTTTTTACCAAAATTAGATGTCTCGGCAAACAGGAAAAAATATTTAACAAACTAAAACATTTAAGATAAGATAATCAGATTTAATAAAAATACTAACTTTGGAAATAAAATATATTGATACATGTTCTAAATCACACCACTCTTTTTAAGTTTATAGAAAGCAAACAAAAACAAAAATGCTAGTTATCTAAATGACTTCCATGAGCCCTTAAAGCTGGTTATCTGATTTATAATGTGATGTGTGCAAAAAATGATATGGTTTTATAACATCTTTACATCATTTCCTAAAAAAAAAAGGTAAGAGTAAAATACATTCTTAATTCTCACCTGGTCAGTAACTACAAGTCCTTGGTGTTAAGTCTCAATTTGTTGACTTTGACAAGTTCCTTCTTAAGTCAAGCTCTTGCTAATACTGTCAGGTATGATTTTTTCCAAGTATCTTTCTTCTCTCCTAAAAAAAGTAAATAAGATATAATTATATTGAGAACTAAAGAAGAAAATTTAGCCAGAGCTTTACAAGAAGCAAAATTTCTAAAAATGAAATAAAAATCAAAACTGATTTTTTTAATCACCATTTCCAGAGGGTATAGAATGAAATACCAGCCTGGGGAGCTATAAAACATAGTGATTAATCCTGTATCAAAATTTTATTTCTAAGGTTTTTCTGTGTGTGTGTGTGTGTGTGTGTGTGTGTGTGTTTTGAGCAGTTCTAATTATATGTAAAAATTGACATCTCATGCCTTTTATTCTTTCTAGAGGTGTTTGAATGAACAAAGAGAAAATTTACTTATATTTTTATTTATTTTTTATTTTTGGTATGTGCGGCTAGTGGGAACCAAACCCAGGACTCTGGTCCACAGGCCGATGCTCCAACCGCTGAATCAAACCGGTCAGGGCTACTTATATTTTTAAATAGAACAAAATTCATTGAATTGTACAATTAGCATATAGGTCCACTGCAACATTATTACAAATCTATGATACATTATGGATTCGCTGTGATGTTATTTGTCCTATATCTTAAAATTTGCTATTTCATTATCCTAGAAATTAGTTCAACATTTCTTTCTTTTTTTGTTTTGTTTTGTTTTGTTAAACCTCACCCAAGGATACCCTTTCCACTGATTTTTAGAGAGAAGAAAGGGGACAGAGAGACAGAGGAAAGGAGGGAGGGGGAGAGAGAGAAAGAGAAACATCAATGAAAGAGAGTCACACATCTATCTGTTGCCTCCCACATGCACCCCAACCTAGGGATCAAACCTGCAACCCAGGCACGTGCCCTTGACCAGGAATCTAACTCCAGACCCTTCAGTGTGTGGGCCAACACTGTAACCACTGAGCCACAAAGGTCAGGGCAATTCATCATTTCTTAATCCATTATTCCCAATTATGCCAAAAAAGACTAAATTAAGAAAATAGAAGAATGATAACCACCCAAAGTGAAGCAATCAAGAACTACATTAGTTACATCATTCTTTAGTTTTTATTGTGCTGTTCAAAGCATTGCTTCATCTTCAAAAAGACATAAAAGACTATAGAGACATTGTCTTTGTAATCTTTTTTTTTTTTTAGCTTTCATTGAATAGTTGAGAATTCAGAATTTTCCATATCCCACCCATAATGGCAAAAAGAGAATTGAGAAAGATGTTTCACAATTATTAGAGAATCACAAGATGAATGTAAAGAAAGAAATAACAGTACTCTATTCTCTAACAATGACAATAAAATTGATGGTATAAGTCAGGGTTTGGGGGACACTACTGACATTCAGAATAAAAAAAACTGTTAAAGGGGGCTGTCTTGTATATTATAGGATATTTAGCAGCATCCCTGGCCTCTAACCACTAGATGCCAGTAGCACCTACCCAGTGGTGATAATCAAAAATGTCTCCAGACATTGCCAAATGCTCCCTGAAAGGGCAAAATCACTCCCAGTTAAGAACCACTCATATAAACAAAATCTCAGACTATGCATCTTCAGATGACAATATCCTAGACAATATCCTAGATTCATTTTCTCAAACTTAAGAATCAATGAATGCTGGAAATAGTTTCAGAGCTCTTCAAAAAGTTCAACATAGAATTAACATATGTCCCAGCAATTCCACTCCTACATACACATCCAAAAGATGTGAAACAGGTATTCAAAAGTACATATACAGGGCCTGGCCAAGTAGGTCAGTTGATTAGAGCATCATCCCAAGATATGCCAAGATTGAGGGTTCAATTCCCAGTCAGGCACATAAAAGAAGCAACCAATGAAGGCATAAATAAGTGCAACAACAAATCAATGTTTTTCTCTCTCTCTCTCTCTCAAATCAATAAATAAGAAAAAAATAATTTTTAAAGTACAGGTACATGCATGTTTACAGCATCACTAATCACAATAGCCAAACAGTGGAAACCACTCAAATGTCAATTAAAAAAAAAAAAAAAAAATCCAGCATTGTACAAACAATGGAACATATGGAATATTATTCAGCTATAAAAAGGAATGAAGTACTGATACATCTTACAATGTTGATGAACCTCAAGACATTATGCTATCTGAAATAAGCCATGTACAAAAGGCCACAGTTGTATGATTCCATTTATACAAAATATCCAAAATATATAAATCCAGAGAGGCAGGGAGATTGGTGATTGCCAGGGGCTGGGTGGATGGAGTAAAATGGAGAATCGCTGAACAGATTTAAAGTAACAGATTTTACTTTAGAATGATGGAAATGTTTTGGAACCAGATAGGCATTAGTTGCACATATTGTGAATGTACTAACTGTTCACTTTAAAAGGGTTAATTTTATGGTATTCCGATTTCACCTCGATAAATTATTTCTTAAAAGGATAACTGAACAAGCAACATTTCTAAGAGCAAAAAAGAGATATGACATTTTCATACAGTTAGGTATTCAACAAGGACACACTATTTTAAAACAAGAACCTGTTTTGCTAAAGAGATGTATAACAGCCCACCAAGTATGGCTCAGTGGTTGAGCACTGACCCATGCACCACCGGTTCGATTCCAGGTCAGGGCTCATGCCCAGGTTGTGGGCCAAATCCCCAGTGGGGAGCATGTAGGAGGCAGCCAATCGATGTTCTCTCTCATCAATGTTTCTATCTCTCTCTCCCTCTCCCTTTCTCTCTCACTAAAAACCCACAAAGAAAAAAAATAAAGAATAAAGAATGTGTAGCACATTCTTTTACCTTTTATGATGTTGATACAGTTCATAGGTGAACAAATGCTTAAGTGTAATACAAAGGTGATTAAAAGGAAATAGATAATGTAGAAACAAGAAAAAAAATCACTGACTTAACTGTAATTGGCATTCATAAATCTAAAAATAAAAATGTTTTGCAAGTAAAGATGATGACTCTCCTTCTCTTCAACAAAATTATGAACTGTCAATGTTTTCAAAAGTATTATAACTGGGAAGACAAAAATATTTTGGAGATGGATGGTGGTGGTGATTGCAGAACAAAGTGAATGTATTTAATGCCACTGTACTGTATACCTAAACACAGTTAAAATAATAAATTTTAGCATAACCAGTGGACACAGACAACAGTGTAGTAAAGGCCTAGGGTGGGGCAGGGGCTGAGAGGAGGCGGGTAAAGGAGGATAACATGGGGGTGACATCTGTAATACTGTCAACAATAAATGAAATATATTTTTTTAAAAAGAAAGCTTAAAAACAAAAAAAAAGTAAATTTTAGGTTATGTTAGGTTAGGTTTAACACTCATATCAAGCATTGCAAGTGCAAGAAGAACCAGAAGAAATAATAAGCTAGGGCCCATTTAGAGAGGTATTTAAGATGTGGAGCTGATAGTTACAAGATGGATATGAACCAGGTTCATGTATGATGAATGATGAGCAGTTAATTATATTCAAAGGATATTGTCCATTTCAGGTACATGTACCTCCAAAAGGAGAAAAATACAGAATAAAACTCTGTGTTTTCTGTTTAAAATTATTAACATCTCTAATATAGTTGTTTTTACTCTCTTTATTTTTACTTTTATATATTATTCATGACTTCAAAGGCATAAAAATTTTTCAAAGATCCACTGGACCCAAATGGGAAATAGTGATGACTATTTTTCTTGGTACATGAGGGTTAAGAGCTATGACTCTGTAGGATTCAAAATCTGGCTCTAACACTTATTAGGTCTGTGTCCTTGGATCAGTCATGTCTGTCAACCTCAGTTTCCTCATCTGCAAAATGGTGATAATGATAGCACCATCTCATAGAGTTGTTTTAAAGACTAACGAAGAAAATGGACATAAACAACATGTAACACAATGTTTGGCCCATAGTAAGTAACAATGAACGCTAACTGCTGTCAGTAGCACTACTATCCTATGAGCAGAGCTACAGTTCATTCAACACAGATTCTTCTTCCTACATAGTTTGCCACTTAGGGAGTTTCAGAACACAGGGCATACTTCAAAGCACTAAATGAATCACAGTGGAGAGAAGGGACTTGCATTTTAAAGAATTTAGCACAGGGATTCATAAAATTAAAGTATTAAAAAAATAAAAAATAGCCCAGCAGGTATGGCTCAGTGGTTGAATTTTGACCCATGCACCAAGAGGTCCCCAGTTTGATTCCTGGTCAGGGCACATGCCCAGGTTGTGGGCCCAATTCCCAGTAGGGGTCGTGCAGGAGGCGGCCAAGCCATGTTCTCTCTCATTGATGTTTCTATTTCTCTCTCCCTCTCCCTTCCTCTCTCTCTAAAATCAATAAAGAAAAAGAAATTTTTTTAATGAAAAATAAAATTCAAGTGTTACACTATAAAAGAAAATAATTCCAATTCTTAGAAATAAAAGCAATACAAAAGGTCTATGGATCTAAACCAAGTTTTTACACCTATCAAAAAGGGGAGGACTTAAGAGCTTATTCATGATATGATTAACTTTACTTAAAACATGACCAGATAATATGAGTCAAGTATTTAACTATATGTAATATGCCATACATACAGTAATGTATTCTAACTGGTAAAAACAGTACAAAGTGTCATTACTTTCAAAAGATTAATGCTTTTCCATACTTTCATCTCCTGAGTTAATACCTGATTAGAACCTGATACAATTAGATTACAGTCATGTTGTAATTAAAATACATCATTCTCAGATATTTATAGGAAAATTTATGGAACCATGAATAAACTTAAAAAACAGAGATCCTTCAAAATTATCTTAATCTGGATCAAGAATGTGAGAATTTTTTTTAATTTTCAACCTTTTCACAAGACATTGGTATTCCAGTATTTCATAAAATGAAAGCAAAATCATGAAACCCTTAGCTGTTTGGGTTTACCATTATGTTTCTTATTTTCCCTATTACTCCCCAACCCATGCTGCAGTTAAATACTATTATTTCTCAGACTGATGCTAAATCCTTTTAAAACTACTCCACATTTGTGATCTCGCTGTATTTCTAATTCCTCTACTCTCTGATTTGTGGAAAGTAATTAGGAACTTCTTTCACATTCTTAAGGGCTTTCTTCAGTGGAAGAAATACAAAGAGTCAACATTAAACTTAATTATATAAACAGGATTTTGAAAGGAAGATTTTCCCCAGTTCAGAATAGTGAGGATAGAATTATCATAAGTATCTCTGTGGTGTCTCCTAATTACAGCATTCAAGTAAAATAGTCATTAACTACTACCATGTGTATAAGGTAATACAAAAATAGATCCACCAAGAAACTTAGTGGCTTGCACTGAAAGAATTTACAATCTACCTGGGGAGGCATGATATAAACCCATGAAAAATACAGAAAGTGAAAGGATAACAAGTAGAACTTGAAAGGCTCTGGAGCCAATCAGACCTAGATTTGAATCCTTATTTCAATACCTACTCAATACAGGATCTAGAACAAGATAGCTTCTGAATCAAATGGGGCCAATACCTACCTTGCAAGTCTGTTGATAGAATACATACAAAGCACCTATTATAGTACCTGGAATATTCATAGGTACTCAATAACTATTGTTGTTGTTACTATTATTACTATCTTAGAGCCAGAGATTATTGAATTCAATTCTCCTTTTACAGATGGGGACAGGAAAATATCACAAAACAGAATACAAATATCTAATAAGAGCAATTTGGAAAAATCTAATAGGAAATTTGACAAGTTCATGAGTATGAAATCACATAAGTATCCAAGTAAGGATTTCACAGGTAGACACTGATTTATTAAATGAACATTGCTTTTTTTTTTTTTAAATCCTCACCCGAGGACATTTTTGCATTTATCTTCAGATAGAGCTTGAGGGAGAGAGGGAAGAGAGAGAAGCATCGATGTGAGAAAGACACATTGACTGGTTGCCACCCATACGACCCCAACCAGGGCAGGGACAAACTGCAACAGAGGTACGTGGCCTTAGTGGGAACACAATCGGGACTTTCTGATCCACCGGCCAACGCTCTAACCACTGAGCCAAACCGGCCAAGGCTAACATTGCTTTTTATTCCATTGGAAATAAAATAAAAGCACTATTGCCCTGGCCGGTTTGGCTCAGCGGTTATAGCATCAGCCTGCGGTCCCGAGAGACCCGGGTTCGGTTGCAATTTGTCCCCGGCCCTGATTGGTTGTGTGGGTGGCAGCCACTGGATGTGTCCCTTTCACGTCGATGTTTCTCTCTCTCTGTTCCTCTCTCTCCCTCCCACTCTACCTGAACAAAAAATGGAAAAATGTCCTCGGCTGAGGATTAAAATAAATAAATAAATAAAATAAAAGCACTATTGCTTCTTGTTACTGATTTACAAACATGGGTTCTGAAGTTAGATATTAAACACAGTTTACATGACAAGTATAAAAATAGAATGTACCCATGTTAGAGGTTAAAATCCAGCTTGTCCATTAGAACAGCAATATAGCGTTTGCTAAGCATCCAGGACAAAAAAAAAAAAGGACTCCTAAATTCAACAGGTGAAGCTTCATTGAAAGATTATGACTTCCCAACTTTCTTCTGTTGACCTGATATAATTTTGTTCTGGAACAAATTTAAGACAATATTCGGGCTTTTCATTCAATGCCACTTCACTAAACACATCACAACTAGTTAATTCTGAGTCACCATATATCTTAATCTCTTCAAATGCACAAAAATCCATACAATTTGTTTGAAACATAATTTAAACTTTGAAGGATGGTAGGCTTACATGACAAACAGGTCATCATTATATTAATCATCTCCACTAAAATTGTATTCAGTTCTTTTCTATTATTTCAACATTATCAATGACTGCCTTACTGCTTTACTCATAAACATTAAGTCAGCAGCTCTAAAAACATACTTTTGGGAACAGTGAAAAAAATTTTCACCCTAGAACTATATTTCTATGCTAATTTTTAAAGTTGCTTTCCTGCCTCTCCCATGAAATCTTTATTAACTTCCGGTACCATTTTAATTTCAAAGCTTTTTCATTCAGTCACCAGATTTATATTCACTCTTTCGAAAAGTTTACATTTTTCTTCCTTTGACTGAAACTAAGTAACGTCCCCAACAAAATTAAGAGGTAACACACAGTAGCCGATCTCTACTGTACTGAAAACAGGAAATGTAATCAATTCACCAACAACTACTCATTGAAAGTTAAGAGGCATAGCAGGAATAAGCACACCTCGCTGTGCAAATTTTCAAGATGAAAAACCAGTGACTCTCCGGGGTTTGTGTTTGTTTTTTGGAAGGCAGCTGAAAACCTAACACCAAGAAAAGAGCCAAGGCCTGTGGGAAGGGCTAGTGATCGAGCAAACATGCATTCAATGAGAAAGTTCATTTTATTCTCTCGCCCCTGTTTCCTCTGTCTGCTTTGAAGTTTTTCAAAACCGGAGCAACTATCAACAGAGCACAAATTGAGGCCCTAAACTCGGGTTCTCCAGGTCTAGGAAGGAGAGGTGCCCAGGATGCGAATTCAGCGGAGCAGAGCCGCCGGGAGGAAGGAGATCACCCGCAGACCTAACTCGGCCAGAGACCCGGGTGGCCGGTAGGAAGACGAAGGAGCCCCGGCCCCTCCGTCAGGGCCCCGGCCTCCGGACGCAACTGGCCTGGGCAACGTGACTCAGGAAAGCACCGGGCTAGCCGCGGCCTAGCGCGGCCGTCTCCGCGGACCTCCAGGACCGGACTTCTCCGTCTTACCTGAAGGCGGGCGGGGGTCTGCGGTCTGGACCCCGGTCTTCCAGCTGCGGCGACGCGGGGGTGGTGGGGGCGGCAGCAGGAGGTCAGACTCGGCCGGGATCTGGCTCTGCGAACCGGCGATGAATCAGCCCGATTCCATTCAAAAGAGTCGCCCGGGACTCCGCTGCGAAGCACTTCCGGGTTCACTGCGCTGCTTCGGCTTCCGTTCCCCCGACGGCCAATTGGAGACGACCCGGGAGTCGGCCGGCGTCCCCGGAGGAGCGCCTCGGACAGCCGGCTCGGACTGCCCGGCTTCCCGAGTCCAGGCTGGGGGCGGGCGGAGTAGAGCCCGCTGCTCCCGCCGCTCCAGCGCCCTGGTCTGCCCCTGCCCCCAGCGTCTCGGATCCGGGACGCCGGCCCACCCGGCCCGGAGGTGACTGGCTGGGAAACAGCACTGCAGGGTAGCAAGGAGAAAAATCCCTTTCACTTTGATGTTCACCGCGGTCCTGCTCGAAAACGAAAAGGTTTACGTGGTCATCTGAGAAGCAAAAGAGAAAAAGGAGGGGTGGGAAAAGAAGGGGAATCAGACGCTTTATTCCACAGTGCCATCCACCCACCTTCTTGTCTTTAAGACAAGGATTGGATTTCAAGGAAAACCATCGTTTACCAAATGTTAAAACCATCTATTTTAAGCTCAATTTAATTGACAGGGCTTAAGGAATCATTTACTAGTGTTTCTCCATGTAATTTGCATTGACAACAACGTTTTATCCATTACCTGCTCTGTACTAGGCTTTCAGAGGGCAAAACCGCCCAAGAAATGACTATTGGAAGTTTATATCACACTTAGGAACAGGCTCCGTTTAAGGCAGCATGTTTACGAAGTCCCACTTACTTTGTCAAGTATATTGCAAATAATAAGCATCTTTAAAACATCCTTAAACCAAGAATGGTGATGAGTTTACTGGGTGGAGGGCAAAGACGGATTTTAGCATCTGAATTAAAAGCTTTTTGAGTAGCACAATTACACGGAATTTCCCTCTCAAATATACCCCATCTCTATCTAAAAATTACATAGATTATTGAACATAGGTAATGTTAATTATTTTAGATCCTCATCTTTATGTTTTCCTCCAAACCTGCGCCTTCTCTGTTTACATTTTTGGTGAATGAACCCATCTTTCACCCAGTTTTCCTAATCCTACCGGAGAGTTGACACTTCCCTCTTGTTTACTTGTTCCCACTGGCCTCCCAGTTAATCAACCTGGAAATCATGAAGTGTCTAATCTGTAAAATAGCTTTCCCAATCCATCACTCCCCTTTCTCCATTCTCTCTACTTGATCCTTAACTTAGATCTTCATCACTATTTACCTCGAAGCTGCAATAATCTCCTCGATTTCTCCCTCTCCAGTCTGTCCCCCTTCAATCCATTCTTCACTTGATTGGCAAAGATTTTTTTTCTGCTTTGCAAATACAGTCATGCCCCTTCTTTGCAAAAAATTTCACCAGTGGCTCCTCATAATATCCAATAAAATATTAAAAATCCTTCAACTTTTTTTGGATCACCCTTGCTCCACCCATACTAAAGTATTTAGCTGGAGAATGAGATGTCCATAGAGACTTTTTAAAATTCTGACATATTCCTGGGAATCTAACGGAAATATGCCTGCCTGGGGTTTGTACATACCTCGGGCCATTTGTTTGCTCAAGAAAAACCTGAGAAGGCCTTAAACTTTCACTTCTTGCCGAACTTGAAGTTGATAAAAGTAAGAAGTAAAGACTAAGGTAGAATTGGAAATTCCTTGGCTGAGTGTGGAAGGCATGGTCCAACACACATTCTAAGATCCTCAGCAAAGACTGGGAGACATTATTTGAAGATATTTAAGGAGATCTCTGTCCAGTCATCAAATGATCACTAAGCCAACTAAGCAAAGACTTCAGGGCTCATGCACAACAAGGATACAGACCTGAAGGAATGAATTCAGAAAAGTCACCAAAACAATTATTAGAACAAACAAAAACATCTTGGGGAGAGGGTAGAATTTGATTTCTTGAGTTGCCATACTCTTATTATTTTATTATTATTTATTATTAAAAGTTCAGTTTTCAAAATTAAAAAAAAAGTATGATACAAAGAAACAAGAATGTGATGTCCATACATAAGAGTAAAAGCAATCAGTAGAAACTATTCTTGAGGAAGCTCATACATTGGACTTACTAGATAAAGACATTAAATGAGATATTTTATTTATTTATTTTTAATTAATTTATTTATTTTTGTTACAGATGTTTCTCCTTTTCCCCCACAGATTTCCCCCTTCCCCTCTCTCCCTGCCCTGTCCCCAGCTTTGTTATCCATGTCCATTGTTCATGCATACATGCATATAAGTTCTGTGGTTTATCTTCCCTCCACCACCCCCTCTTCTGGGAATTGTCAGTTTGTACCCCACTTCCACGTCTCTGGGACTACCCCATTCCTCAGACTGTTATGTTCATTATATTCCACAAATAAGTGAGATCATAGGATACTTGTTTTTCTCTGTTTTGCTTGTTTCGCTTCGGATAATACTTTCCAGGTCCCTCCATGTAGTCTCAGAGGATAAGAGATCTTTCTTTCTTACAGCTGCATAGTACTTCATTATGTATATGTACCACAGCTTTTATATTCATTCGTCTACTGGTGGACATTTGGGTTGTTTCCAGATCTTAGCTATTGTAAATAGTGCTGCTACAAACATGGGGATACATATATTTTTTCTGATTAGTGTTTCAGGCTTCTTAGGGTATATTCCTAGAAGTGGGATCACTGGGTCAAATGGGAGTTCAATTTGTAATTTTTTGAGGTAACACCATATTGTTTTCCATAGTGGCTGCACCAGTCTGCATTCCCACCAGCAGTGTACTAGAGTCCCCTTTTCTCCAAACCCTCGCCAACACTTGTTGTTTGATGATTTGTTGATGGCGACCATTCTGACAGGTGTGAGGTGATACCTCGTTATTGTTTTAATTTGCATCTCTCTGATGATTACTGATGTTGAACATTTCTTCATATGTCTCTTGGCCATTTGTATGTCCTGTTTGGAGAGGTGTCTATTTGGTTCCTCTGCCCATTTTTCAATTGGGTTCTTTGTCTTCCTTTTGTTGAGTTGTATGAGCACTCTATATATATTGGAAATTAACCCCTTATCTGATATATCATTGGCAAGTATGCTCTCCCATAGAGTGGGTTGCCTTTCCATTTTGATGATTGTATCTTTTGCTGTGCAGAAGCTTTTGAGTTTGATGTAATCCCATATGTTCATTTTCTCCTTTGTTTCTAATGCCTTAGGTGATATGTAAGTGAAAATTCTGCTGCGTATGATGTCTAAAATTTTGTTGCCTACATTTTCTTCTAGGATTTTTATGGCTTCATGAGTCACATTTAAGTCTTTTATCCATTTTGAGTTTATTCTTGTGTATGGTGTAAGTTGAGGTCTAGTTTCACTTTTTGGCATGTAGATGTCCAATTTTCCCAACACCATTTATTGAAGAGGCTGTCTTCACTCCACTGTATGCTCTTGCCACCTTTGTCAAATATTAATTGAGCATATTGCCTTGGGTCCATTTCTGGGTTCATTGTTCTGTTCCACTGATCTATATGCCTGTTCTTGTGCCAGTACCAGGCTGTTTTGATTACAGTGGCTTTGTAGTATAACCTGAAACCTGCTAATGTGATCCCTCCAACTTTGTTCTTCTTTTTCAAGATTACTGTGGCTATTTGAGGTCTTTTTTGGTTTCATATGAACTTTTGAAGTATTTGTTCTAGTTCTGTGAAGTATGTTGTTGGTATTTTGATGGATATTGCATTGAATCTATAGATTGCTTTGGGTAGTATGGACATTTTAATTATGTTAATTCTTTCAATCCATGAACAAGGTCTGTGCTTCCACTTTTTTATATCTTCCTCTATTTCCTTTTTCAATGACCTATAGTTTTCTGTGAATAGGTCCTTTATTTCTTTGGTTAAGTTTATTCCTAGATATCTTAATTTTTTTTGCTGCAATGGTAAATGGGATTGTTTTTTTAGTTTCTCTTTCCGTGACTTCATTATTGGTGTATAAGAATACCATTGATTTCTTGACATTAATTTTGTATCCTGCTACCTTGCCAAATTCATTTATTAAGTCTAGTAAATTTTTGATGGCATCTTTGAGGTTTTCTACGTATAGTGTCATCTCATCTGCGAATAATGACAGTTTCACTTCCTCCTTTCCAATTTTGATCCCATTTATTTTTTCTTCCTGTCTGATTGCTGTGGCTAAGACTTCCAGTATTATGTTAAATAAGAGTGGCAAAAGTGGGCATCCTTGTCTTGTTCCTGTTCTTAAGGGAAATGCTTTTAATTTTTGCCCATTGAGTATAATGTTGGTTTAGGTCTCTCATTTATGGCTTTTATTATGTGGAGATATGATCCCTCTGTTCCCAGATTGCTGAGCGTTTTTATCAGAAATGGGTACTGGATTTTGTCAAATGCTTTTTCAGCATCTATTGATATGATCATGTGATTTTTATCTTTCATTTTGTTTATGTGGTGTATCACATTTATTGATTTGCAAATATTGTACCAGTCTTGCATCCTAGGGATGAATCCCACTTGGTCAGGGTGAATCATTTTTTTGATGTATTGCTGGATTCGATTTGCTAGTAATTTGTTCAGGATTTTGGCATCTATGTTCATCAGAGATATTGGTCTGTAGTTTTCTTTCTTTGTAGTCTCTTTTTCATGTTTTGGAATTAGAATTATGCTGGCCTCATAAAACAAGTTTGGAAGTCTTCCTTCTTGAATTTTTTGGAATCGTTTGAGGAGGATGGGTGTTAGTTCTTTTTTGAATGTTTGGTAAAACCTCCATGAAGCCATCGGGCCTGGGCTTTTGTATGATGGGAGAGTCTTGATTACATCTTCAGTTTCTTCTGTTGTTATTGGTCTGTTAAAGTTCTATATCTCTTCCTGGTCCAGTTTTGGGAGACTATGTGTTTCTAGAAATTTGTCCATTTTGCTTAGATTGTCGAATTTGTTGCCATATAATTGTTCATAATATTTGTTAACAGTCCTTTGTATTTCTGTGGTATCAGTTATTATTTCTCCTCTTTCATTTCTGATTTTATGCATTTGGGTTCTCTCTCTTTGTTTCTTGGTGAGTCTAGCTAAGGGTCCTT